AAATAGATGTTATTAGGCTGCTTTCAGATTTAAGTAACAAAAGCCAACTAAAAGATTAAATAAAAAGAATACTATCTTATAAGAAATGGCCCAGAGATAGGGGCTGGTTCCATATTTGAGCGGTCCTATAACTCAAAGATGGTTTTGCCTTCAGTTTGGCTTCTCTGCCATCTTACAAGCTTTCTGCTCATGGTCACAGGTGGCCCTCCCCATTCCACATGTCACATCCTTGCTCAGCAGTCTCCAGAAGCAGGTACAAAGAGAGGCTCTGCATTTGCTATTCTTCTTATCAGAGGGAAGAATCTTCTTCCAGGAAGCTCCTTGATATCTCATTGGCTGAATTCTCTTACATGTTGTTGTGAACAGAATGTTTGTGCCCTCACCTGAATTCACATTCGGAAGCCCTAACTTCCAGTGTGATAGCATTTGAAGGTGGTGCCTTTGGGAGGTAATTAGGTTTAGATGAACCTTTTGCTACTCCAAATAATTAAAACAGCCTCTAGTAATAATAAAGTTCAGAAGAAAAGCCCTATCTTTATTCCCTCTCCTAAAAAGTGGCGAGGAGACTAGAAACAATATTGTAAGGTACTGCACCTACACACCCAGATCTTGGCTTCTGAATACCATTCAGTATCAGAAATCAAGGCTTCTTGATGAAAATGGTTCATTCTAAAGCTGGGACAGAGAGAATACAAGATGGGTCTGGAATATCTGGTAATGCTAGACAATAAGAAAGTTCAAAAACCAAAACATGGGATGTGTCAGAGGGACATAGAATTTAACCATCGAGATCTTCCCGTGGCCACAGCTGGAGCTATTTGAACACAAAGTAAATAAAATAGTATTGGATTATAACCCACAGAGTAAAATCAATATGTATGAGTCCAGACTGATAAAAATGATTGAATTAGTAAATGAGAGAAGAGACAAATCTTTCTCACAAAAGAATTCCAAACAGTAAGCATAGATGCCCCACTCCTCTGAAGCAGAGCTTAACCTCTCTCCTCCCGGCACATGCCCATTCAGCATCTCCACTCTGAGGTGAGCTTGACTTAATGATTCACTTCAAAGGATACAGCACGTAAGGGAAAGTAGCAGCTTTACAAAGCAGAAACCTACAAAGACTGCCTTAACAAATCCTGTCGCGTGGGTATCGTGTACCGCTGATATGCTCTGATGAAAAGGGCACTTCACCACCACTCTGGTATTCTTTACAAAAACACACCGCCCAGCTCTGAATGTCAGAAGAATAACAGATACATCCAAGTAAGAAGATACTCTGCAGGATAATTGGCCAGTAGTCCTGGAAGCTCTCAAGGTCATAAACAAGGAAAGTCAGATACATGGTCACAGACTAGAGTAGATTAAGGAAGCATGGCAACTTCATGCAACATGGGGCATTAATGGAGGAAATACTGAAATCTGAATGAAGGGAATTTAGTTAACTGTACCAATTTTGAGCTCTTAGTTTTCAAAAATGTACCACAGTTATTTAAAATGTTAACTTTAGGGGGAAATGAGTAAAGGCACTTGGCACTCTCTTTACAATATTTGTGTAAACCTACAAATAGCCCTGAATTAAAAATTCAGTTAAAAAGAAATGTGTGAGGAAACCAATATTGTATGTCAGATAATATTTCAATTAAAGAATTCAGAGAAATTCTCAAAAATCAAATGCTGCAAAAGCATGTAACAACAGTAAAATATAAATGGGATAAAGCCCCTTGAGAAGCAATGGGCAGTGAAAAAAACAAAGTGTATGCTAGTCAGCTGTTGAAACTGGTTATGTGGATGTTCATTGTCCTGTTAACTCTGCTTTTCTAAATGCAGTCATAGCGCATCTTACTCCATATCTGTAAGTTCTATATCCGAAGTTCTCCATTCACAGAGTGATGAGTAAATTGCAGTTTAAATGTTTTAAGCAGTTAAAAATAAGTAAATTCATGAAATAAATGATTCTCTGCTTTCAAGATAATTTAGCAATCAAGAGTGACAAAGTTTCTTGTGGTAACTACTGAGATAATAATGAATAGGTGAACTTTGTTGTCTGTATCCCTCAATGAATGAATGATGTTGCATATCACATTTATACAACTTTGCTACTTAAAGTGCCGTTCAAGAACCTGCAACTAGGCATCATCTGAGAGCTGGTTAGAAATGCCAAGGGTAAAGCTTAAAGTCAGGCATACTGAAATGAAATCATCATTTTAACAAGAACCCCAGTGAACAAAATACAGATTAAAACTTACGAAGCACTTTATAGTCTTGTGGTTTTCTACATTTCTTAACAAGTAACATTTGAAAAGGTACACTCCTTATAAAGAGTTTACATTTGATTGAAGACTATAAATTGCCCCCCTTTACTTATATCCTGGAATAGATACTTGGTCATAATAACATTTACTTAAAATTACATATAATATCACACCTTTGCTAGGCCCAATAACATTCTAAGGAAGATAAAAGTGGTGAATATATTACCCAGCCAACTCCTCAGGAGAGTTTGTATGGAAAAAACAATGGTTAGGAGACTGGGCAAAAAATATATCACATTTTAAGAATGTCCCCTGATGATTTGACAATGTCCGCTGATGATGTGACAATGAGGAATCCTGAATTTCATCCCTATTCTTTCCCTTCGAAAATACCCATGAGAGAAACATGCAGAGAGGAGCAATCCATTCAGCATTGCTTTCCCTTTTTTGTTACATCATACCACCTTTGAAAGTACATAATTTGGGGAGCACGACTTTGGTTAAAGATATCTCTAGCCATTGCTAGCTGGTAAACTAGTAACAGGATGAGGAAGAGATAATATTCTGACTAGAAAATAGAAAATTAGCCATGGTTGTTCATCTGCACAAGGGAAACTCATACTAGAGGCTGAACAGCCACTATCCTTAAGTATCTCTTTGCCAGATCGTGGAAACAAGAACACGTACTACAAGGTAGAGGAAAGAAAGGAAGATGAAAGATCGACGTGTAGAACAGACCCTGCAAGATGCTTCAAAAGGATATAAGCGAAAGAGACTTAGGGATTTTAGGGAAAGCCCTGCTTCCCATGATTTACCGATCAAGGCTTCATGTATCCATGTGACGTGAGATGCCACATGCAAAAAGGCAGGAAAGACTGAGAAAAATCCAAATTTAAGACAGATGACAAAGAATACATAAATAGCAGGTGGGGAAGTAAAGGCAATAAATAGAGATTTCAGTTTGGAATTATAGTGGAATCAGGATATGGAACAGTAGATTAAATGTTAGCAGAAACAAGGAAAAGTTTTGATTATTTTTAAGATGGTATATTTGGCCGCTATTCGGGAAGGAATTAAACATGTTTGATTAGCAAATGAAGTAGTAAATCCAGGTAAAAGATTAATGGGAGGAACAAGGTTCTTGACAAGGTTAATGTGGGAGAGTAAATGGAAAAGTTGCAAATAAAGCCCACAGATGATGGTTAACCTTGAAAAGGCATTAGGACAGCTCTTCCTTGGGGAAAGAAGGGAAGGAAAGGGGAATCAGAGATACAATCCGTCAAATAAAATGTGGGGTTATTTCCTAAGAGTGATTGGGCTCAGGATTGTGGTCAGTGTGAGGGATGCAATACAAGAAGCAAAGATAAGGGGATTGTATAGTTTATGGTCTGAATGAGCACACTTTAGAGGATGAAAGAGATGCTCACAGACAGCATGTCTGCACAACAGGACTCTTCTGAACAAACGTAAACATACCCTGGAAACAAACATCACTACTGTGAAGGAAGCATGGATGTGTGATGGGTCCGTTCAGCCCCTCTGGGCCTCCCCAGCAATGTTGCCAATACAGGGTCAAAGAGAATCATAGTTAGGCTTCCAGAGTTGGGGGAAAAGTGAGACCGGAATATTAGAAGATCATGAGACTGAGAACCCCTGAGTCATAGACAACAACTTTGGAATGGCTGCAGTCTTGTGCTAGCATTGTCCAATAGAATTGTCTGCAATGATGGAAGTGTTCTTAAGCCTCTTGCCTCATGTGGCAACCGGGCAAATGAATTATTAATTGAAAATAATTAGCTTCCCCGGTGTCTCAGCGGTAAAGAATTCGCCTGCCAATGCAGGAGACACGGGTTCGATCCCTGGATGGGGAATACACCCTAGAGAAGGAAATGGCAACACACTCCAGTATTCTTGCCTGGGAAATCCCATGGACAGAGGAGCCCCGTGGGCTACAGCCCATGGGGTTGAAAAAGAGTCAGACCCGACTTATTAACTAAACAGCAACAAGCTGCATGAAGCTGCCCTACTAGAAGTGCTGGTTTATATTAAGCCAAGAAAAGAGTGAAGCCAAGAGATTAATGGACTGTAAAGAATGCAGCAGGTGTCAGAAGGCAAGATGGGAGTTTGTTGTGCAGATTGAGCGTAAATGTAACTATATTTAATTGTGAATGATGATGTATTTAGTTGTGAATAGCGATGAAGTCCCGAGTGCGACAGTTCTTGATGAGAACCAAAGAAAACAGCTAGTGGGACTGGGGGGGTGGTGAGGAATGAAGTCTGAATATGGGCAGTCACGTGTGACCTACAGGGGATGATGGGAGTGAGCAGGGGGCAGGGCTAGGGGGGGCGCATCTCACACTAAAGACCTTGAGGAAAGCTGCGTGGGACCCCGAGAACATGAGGTGAAGACCACCAGGTAAGGAGAAAAGGATCAGGGAGTGGCTAAGATTTCAAGATGAGAGTTTTTGTCTTTGTTTTTCAGATGTTAGCTGTGTTCTTGAGTTTCCTGGGGGAGGCAGTAGGCATCTAAAAGAAGCTGGATTTGTGTTCTGCTCTCTGGCTCTGGTCATGGTGGAGACCAAACAGGAGAATTAAAATGTGTTTCCTTTTGGCAAAGGAGGAGAGTGGTGGTTAAACACACACATCCTTTTTAATGTCTATAATATCCTAGGTGGTAGATTATTCATTAGCAAAATATTTAAGCTGAGTTGACTGTTGTATTAACAAATAATTTTTATTTTCTAGATCTGCTTTGACTTTGGAAATGGACTCCATTTTGAGGTAAGAAACCAAGGGGTTATTCCTATCTTGAAGTTTATAGAAGACAGTTGTGCCTTTACCAGATTGAAAGCACACACTCCCACTGAAACCGCTAGGTGGCGTCTTGAGGGGGTGCCAAGGAGCTGCGGTCCTTTATGTCTCAGCACAGGAAAGAATTCAGTGAGAAGCGTAGTGATAGGTAAGAGATTTATCAGAATAGGATGATTGTGAGGCTTCCAGGCAGGTGGTCAAATGTTGTGCTGCCCCGAATATTTAGTGGATTACATTTTTATAAATAAAAGGAAGAAAATGGATGGAAAGATCACCTTGTTTTTCATTCTTTGAGTCTTCTGTCATTAACTCCTGTGTGTTGGGTGGTGGAGTTATTGACCCTATATGGTGCATCCCTCATGGCACTTTGGAAAAATTATATCAGGTCTCAGTACAGTGAGGGTCTTTCACTTTGAAATGTCACCTTCCCATAAATTATTGTTTTTTGTGTTTGCAGAGAGTATGTCTTAGGGGTCATTAACTTGTTGATGTCACTGGGCAGGTTTCAGGTCTTATTTTCCACTACTGTTTTTTTGTTTATTTGGGGACAATGCTTCTGTTACATGGTTTTGTTGTTAAGCAAGTTAACTTGGTTTTGTTGTTAAGCAAACCCATCTAGCTTCGATGCTAAGCGACTTGTTCAGCTTTATGAATTAAGTAAGCCTACACTGTTTCGGGATTTTTCCATTACTTGCTTGAGTGATTATTTATTTACTGTGGTCTCCCAAAGCCCACTGAAGTTCCCTCTCTATTAACAGTCTCCTAATGGGATTTCTGAGCTAGCTTTTGGTTATCCTACTCTATCCCTGGGGCTTCCCAGGTGGATCAGTTGTAAATTTCAGGTGGATTCAGGTAGATTTCAGGTAAATTCCCGGGTGGATCATTTCTTGCCTACCAAGAAGGAAATGTGGGTTTAATCCCTGGGTCAGGAAGATGCCTTGGAGAAAGAAATGACTACCCACTCCAGTATTCTTGCCTGGGAAATCCCATGGACAGAGGAGCCTGGTGGGCTACAGTCTCGGTCAGGTCAGTCGCTCAGTCATGTCTGACCTTTTGCGACCCCATGGACTGCAGCACACTAGGCTTCCCTGTCCATCACCAACTCGACAGTCTATGTGGTGGGCTGCAGTCTGTGGGGTTGCAAAGAGTCAGACATGACTTAGCAACTAAACAACAGCTCTATTCTGTCACCTCAGACTCAGCCATTCCCACTCAACCACATGCACAGGGACCTCTACCCAGGGACGATTATGCTGCATTTTTGACAATCTAAATATCCACCAGTGAGAGAATGGTAAAACAACTCACGGTACATGGAAGAATGTCCATGATGAGGTACTGAATGAAAAATCAAGGGACAGAATGTGATGTATGGTGTTGGACTGGCCATGAAGTTTGTTTGGGGTTTTCCATAAGCTGTTTCAGAAAAAAACCTGAATGAACTTTTTGGCCATCCTAATATAATTCCATTTTTATGGAAAAAAAAAAAGGAGACCTTTTTACATGTGCAGCTGTATGATCATAAGAAAATATCAAAGCCATTAACAGTGCATATTCCAAAGTATGAGTGAAAAACTGGGAGGATGTTTTACATTTTTGCATTATAAACTTTAATATTATTCTAATGTTTTGATACATAATTCATTTTTTAGTTATAGAAAAATTTTTCCACTGAAAACAAAGGAAAAAAATCAGTGACCTAGTGATAACCAGTATAAATATTTTGAAATAAAATACAAGTTATATAGAGTAATAAAATGAGTAAAATGGTAAACCTAGTATAAAAATCATCTCTGATCTTAAAATACTAGGTCAGCTGCATTAAAATTTTCCTTGGATAAAATATATATTCATCTATTAAAGCCCAACTGAAAACTTATAGATTAGTTTTCTGCCTAGTTTTTGATAAACCAAAGATGGGCCATTTAATCCTTTAACCTCATTCACTAGTTTTAGTTAAGTTGATATCAACAGGTTACTGATAATTTTGCCTTAAAGCATTAGTAATTCATTTTTAAATTATAAGCCGCCACAGTAAAATAAGACTTTATTTTCAGTTAGAAACATTTCTTGACTTGCTGTGTTAATTGTAATTTGCCCATTTGTAAGGTCGCTAAATTACTCTAGCCTTTTTAAGTCTTCCCTCTGGGAGCTCTTTCCTTACTGATATAAAAAACAAAAACAAAACAAAACTGCTTTACTGGTTTGGAAACAAGCTCTTCAGGTAGATAGTGTTTGTTCCCAGTGTATGTATTTTCCCTTTGAAAATGAAACCTGTGTGTGAGTGCAAGTCGCTTGTCATGTCCAATTCTGTAACCATATGGACTGTAGCCTACCAGGCTCCTCTGTCCATGGGATTCTCCAGGCAAGAATACTGGAGTGGGTTGCCATGCCCTCCTCCAGGGGATGTTCCTGACCCAGGGATTGAACCCATTTCTCTTATGTCTCCTGCATTAGCAGGTGGGTTCTTTACCACTAGCACCACCTGGGAAATCCAAAGCCTATATTAAAGCCATATCAAAAAGTATGAAATAATTTATACCTTAGAATTTGCACAGCTCTCTTTCAACTTTTAGTACATTTTATGATTCCATACTAATGTTTTACTAATTTTTTGGCAACATTTTATTGCTTTAGGCCTTACACTCAAGAAATGAAAGCAAGCTGCTTCTTAAACACACTCACCCAGTGAGACAAAAGCGCGCCTGGATCACCGCCCCTGTGGCTCTCCGGGAGGGAGAGGACCTGTCCAGGAAGAATCCGATCGCCAAGGTACTGTCTAAAGAGAAAAGGAAGTACATGAGATCATCCATGTTCACTGTAAAGTTTTAGGAATGTTACGTGATGTATTTATTCACTGAACTTTTTAATATTCTAGATGTCACCTTGCAGATCCACTTTCCTATTCTAGAAGATGCAGCATTAGTGGTGAACATGTATTTAACGGAGGGCTTTGATTCAACTGGGCCTCCCTGGTAGCTCAACTGGTAAAGAATCCATCTGCAATGCAGGAGACCCCAGTTTGATTCCTGGGTTGGGAAGATCTGCTGCAGAAGGTATAGGTGACCCACTCCAGTATTCTTGGGCTTCCCTGGTAGCTCAGCTCGTAAAGAATCTGCCTGCAATGAGGGAGACCTGGGTTCGATCCCTGGGTTAGGAAGATCCCCTGGAGAAGGGAACAGCTACCCACTCCAGTATTCTGGCCTGGAGAATTCTATGGAGAAGTCCATGGGGTCTCAAAGAGTTGAACATAACTGAGTGACTTGCACTGTTTGATTCAACTAAGGGTGGACTCAGGCACTAGTTGAATCCTTTTTTAACAGAGTGTTAACAGTGCTGAAAAGGAGATCCCATCATCTGTTTTCCCTAGCACTTTCCTAGGTTCTCTGGCAGGAGCCCTGTAAATTGGACTGACAAAAAACAATTAACAAGAGAAAAACAAGCTTAGGAACGTGTCTGTACGTGCACTGTGCTCAGTCACTTCAATCCTGTCTGACTCTTTGCTGCCCAGTGGACTATAGCCCGCCAGGCTCCTCTGTCCATGGGAGTCTCCAGGCAAGAATACTGGAGTGGGTTGCCATGCCCTCCTCCAGGGGATTTTCCAGACCCAGAGATTGAACCGCATCGCCTGTGTCTCCTACATTACAGGGAGATTCTTTACCCATTGAGTGATCTGGGAAGCCCCTAAAAACTTGTCTATCCCACGTGTAACACGTGGGAGTACCCAGAGATGAGTAAATCAAAGGTTTGGCTAGGATTTGGGTTTATATAAGCTACTTAGTTGCAGAAGGCAATGGCAACCCACTCTAGTGCTCTTGTCTGGAAAATCCCATGGACGGAGGAGCCTGATGGGCTGCAGTCCCTGGGGTCGCTGAGAGTCGGACACAACTGAGCGATTTCACTTTCACTTTTCACTTTCATCCATTGGAGAAGGAAATGGCAACCCACTCCAGTGTTCTTGCCTGGAGAATCCCAGGGACAGCGGAGCCTGGGGGACTGCCGTCTGTGGGATCGCACAGAGTCGGACACGACTGAAGCAACTTAGCAGTAGCAGCAGCAGGCTACTTAGTAGAAGGACAATAAATTTTTAGAAAAATGACAAGACAGACAAGAAAGACCTTGAGTCCCCACGGGCAGCAACCTGGGAAGGCAAATGGATGGGCAACTAATAACAGAAAAAGCTAGTTAGTCAGGTTTGTTTTGTAATTCTTCTGGTCCTGTCTCCAGGCTGATAGGAATCTAAACTCCCCTCCAGTGATGAACCTTTTTGTCCTTCCTGTAGAGAGGGGTAGAAAAGGCACCTTTACAAACTTATGTCCTGCTCTTAGGCAAGCGGGGCTTCCCAGGTGGCTCACTGGTAAGGAACCCACCTGCCAATGCAGGAGATGTAAGACACGTGAGTTCAGTCCATGAGTTGGGAAGATCCCTTGGAGAATGGCACGGCAACCCACTCCAGGATTCTTACCTGGGAAATCCTATGGAAAGAGGAGCCTGGTGGGCTGCAGTCTATGAGGTCGCAAGAGTCAGACATGACTTAGTGACTAAACCACAACAGTCTTAGGCAGATAGGGGGAGGGCGGAGAATTTTTCTGGTATCTGCTGCTTCTCAATCACTTTCAGCTTAAAACAATTCTTATATCAGAGTCACACATTCTGCCACCCTACCCACGAAAATAGTTTTCAAAATGAAAAGAACTGATATCTAACTTGCGGTAGGACGACCACACATCTTGCCTGAAACAGTCTGGGTTTACAACCATTGTCCTGGCCTAATTATTAATAACTGCTTTCAGCTCTCAAAATGCCCTATAAATTGTATGGTAGTTCCATTCATTTGTATCTCAGACTTAGCATGTGCAAAGTCTGAACCCTTGATTTTTCCAAAAGCTGTTCTCCCCAAGTTCTATCCATTTCAGTAAATGGTACTATAATTTTGTCCAGTATTTTCAAAACTGCAGCAGATACTGTCAGTTCTGTGTCAAAAGTGGATTTCGAATCTGCCCACTTCTCTCCACTGCTACCCTCCTCGTTCCCGTGAGTGTCAGCTCTGACCTGTGTTACCAAAAGCACCCTGACGTGGTCCCCCTGACTTCACTCTTTCCTGCCTCTCCCCCACCACAGTCCATTCTCCAGAAAGCAGCCAAAGTGATCTTCTGAACCAAAATTTTCATCCCCTTCCTGAGGCCCTTTCAACAGCTGCCCACTGCAGTGGAAGAAATACACTCCTCACCTTGGCCAACAAGAGCTCTCTTAGGGTTTGTTGACCTTGACCTCCTCTCTGACCCCAGCTCCTGTCAGCCCTCATGCCACACTCTGACACCTCCCTAAGCTGACCCAAGCCCAAAGCCCATGCCAGCCTCCCACTCTTTCGTTGTTCAGTTGCTTAGTCGTGTCAGACTCTTGGCAACCCCATGGACTTCAGCACTCCAGGCTTCCCTGTCCTTCGCTGTCTCCCAGAGTTTGCTCAAACTCGTGTCCATTGAGTTGGTGATGCCATCCAACCATCTCATCCTCTGTCTTCCCCTTCTCCTGCCCAATCTTGCCCAGCATCAGGGTCTTTTCCAGTGAGTCAGCTCTTCTCATCAGGTGCCCGAAGTGTTAGAGCTTCAGCATCGGTCCTTAGCACTTGCTGTTCCCTCTGCCTGGAACCCCCTCCCCATAGGTATTTGCATCACAGCATAAAGCCTCTGGCCCAGAATTCCCTTCCCGGCCTCACCCCATCTCAGTCCCCTCACTCCATTCAGCTCGGTTTATAGCTCGTTCACCTCCAGGACGTTACGTCGTAAGTTGCTTGCTTGTCCTCTGGTTCCCTCAGTAGAGTGTAGGCTCCCTGGGCAGGGGCTTGGTCCTCAGGGCTCCCAGCTCATGCACACCCTGTGCCCCGAGCAGAGCCAACATCCTGTAGGTGCTCAGTAAACATTTGTGTGAATGATAAGTGTTCATAGGCAAGTGGTACCTTCATCTTTCCAACCTTATAAACAGCACACACGACAAGCTCCTTTTAACAAAGAGCAGCCAGGAACAGAAGACACTTTCCTTTTTCCAGCAATATATTATTTTGATAAAAGCCCTCTTAAATCTAAACGTTCAATTGATTATGGCTTTACATAAAGTGAGTGAAAGTCACTTAGTCGTGTCCGACTCTATGTGACCGCAAGGACAGTAGTCTGTCAGGCTCCTCTGTCCGTAGGATTTCCCAGGCAAGAATGCTAGAGTGGGTAGTCATTCCCTTCTCCAGGGGATCTTCCCCACTCAGAGATCAAACCCGGGTTTCCTGCATTGCAAGCAGATTCTTTACAGTTTCAGCCTCCCGTGAAGCCCGTGACTTTACATGATAGTTTGTATACAAGCAGTTAAGCTTTCTGGTTTGATTAGTGCTGGTTTGATGAGATATCTGAGTCATTCACTCATTCTTTCAGTAGGTTTCCCTAAAATACATGGATTCTTTGGGGTTCAGTAGGCATTAGCTATTCTTCTTACTCATTTTAATTATAAAAGTTGTTAAGAGTAAAATTTACCTAAAAAACAAAACATTCTGTTGTATTTCCCCAACTTTATAGATTCTTTGTCTAAAAGTAATACTGTCATACTGTCAGCAGCTTCGTATCTTCCATATCTTTTGAAATACATAAGTATGTATATACCTACATACTCTTATGTGCATACATATGTATATGCAAACCAACTGCTAGGTCCATACACAGTTTGATTTTATTTTTAACATAAGTGAAATTATATAACATATATAGTCAGCACATAAAGATCTAGAATGTTCTCTATAAATACCGATGTATGTGTATACACATACACATGGGTTGTGTGTGTATATGCATGAACTTGGCAAAAAAAAGAAGAGACAGAAACACAGAGAAAGGGAAAGACAGACAGAGGCTCAGTGAGAAGTGATCACGGGACTGCCCCAGGGTCCCCATTCCTCTAGGAGCAGAGCAGGTGTAGCAGGAGGTTGGAGCCGCATCTCATTCTCAGCAGCACCCTCAGCCCCAGAGCATGTTGGAAATCCTGTGGGAAGCATGTGTAGCTAATTCTGAGATTTCAGGATGAAGAACTGGCGGGGCAGAGGTGGGGTGATGGCTTCAGTGATGTCTGAAAAGAGAAATTGAGGATCCAGTAGGGGGCGACAGAGATACACTTACCAGTGAAGAATTAGAGACAACAGAAATGGCAAACAAACAAGTTAGAGAAACAAATAGAGCTCTTTCTAGAGGACAAAGGTGTTAACTACAGAAGTCTCCCAGGTTAGAAACACCGATCTGCAAGAGCATTTCAAGTAGGAGAAGCGCTTGACTCTTTTAACCCTCCTGTGAAAGGATGCCTTACTCATACTTTCTCGATGATCGAAGTTATAAAGGTGATTTTGAGTCTACAGATTTTACCTTACCTATATTTAAAATTCACTCCCACCAAGATGTACCCCCCTCATGATATCTTAATTTCCTAACAACCCTAAGAGGTAGGCAGAAGTGTCTCTTCACGTTACAGGTAAGAACACTGAAGCGTAGGAGGGTAAACAGCCATTAGCATCACACCTAGTAAGTAGCTGTGACACGACTAGACCCGGGTTCTCTGACACCAGCACCTCTGCTGTGGATCACCTGTGTCCTCCCACCTCCTCCTTTCAACAGCCAACAGCTTCCGAGCGAAATTTTCAATTAAAAACAGTTACCTGTAAGTTAGAGTTTAACTTGAAGCATTCCTCTCTTATTTTTATGTTAGATACACTCTGATCTTGCAGAAGAAAAAAAACTAAAAATTACCTACAAATACACTGGAAAGGGGATCACAGAGCCGCCCTTCGGCGTGTTTGTCTTTAATAAAGACACCGGAGAACTAAACGTTACCACCATTCTAGATCGAGAAGAAACACCATTTTTTCTGGTAAGAACAATTTTACATTATGCATTTGTAGCTTTTCTTGGGTAATAGTTATGCTTTATTATTTTTTTGAAATGATGCTACTCGAATGATCTCAGCCTAAATTCCTTCTATTTTATATGTCATGATTTCAGCTAATTGGTTACGCTTTGGATGAAAGAGGAAACAACTTAGAGAAACCAATAGAACTCAGAATTAAAGTTCTTGACATAAATGACAATGAGCCAGTGTTCACACAGGACGTCTTTGTTGGGTCTGTTGAAGAGCTGAGCGCAGCAAGTAAGAGTTCATTATTTTTATGAATGAGTACCCAAGACCATTGTATCCCCAGCATGTCACTGAACGCTGAAACCTCTGTCTTAGTGGAGGGTGAATATTACCCACAGGAAAAATAATAATAAACTGATTGATCTAGGTTTGGAACTGATTTTTCATTGTAAGTTTTTTACCTCAAAACAGATATGGTAGATTGATATGATAGGTTAGGTCTGTGTAGCAACTATTCAGTTTCACCAGGTGTCAGGAAAGCATCTGTAGATACTGTGCAAACAAATAGGTATGGTTGTATTCCAATAAAATTTCATTCACAAAATCAGGTGGCTGGCTGGCTTGGGCCCACTGTCCATAGTTTGCTAACCTTAGACATATTATTTCTACCTCCAGGTTTCAATGCAAGTGTTAAATGCACCTTTCTATTTGGGTCTTGCAGGAGAAATTTCTCTTTGATCAGAATGTAAAGAATAGCTATGCTTCTCCTGAATTGCTTATATTTTAATAAGCATGTCTATGTATCTGTTCATTTTTCTTTCTTTGTATTGGCTATTAGAAATGTAATCATCAAATCTGTGGGCCTCCTATAGTGTGTCCAGAACTTCATCTTTAAAATTGTATTATACTAACCTCAGCCTCACATCTTATTTTTCCTATTCCTACCTCCATTCACACTTACCCCCAAACAATTAAATTCTTTAATCTTAGTAAACTGAATTTGATAAATACCTAAAATCCTTTCTGGAACAAGCTGATGTGATAAATAAAATAAATCACATACGTAAGTGTGCTAAAAGTTGTGTTTCATCTTGGACCCCTTCATTTCTGCTGCCAGATACACTTGTGATGAAAATCACCGCAACCGATGCAGATGAGCCCAACACTCTGAATTCTAAAATTTCCTATAGGATTGTGTCTCAGGAGCCTGCTAATTCTCCAGTGTTTTTCCTAAATAAAGATACAGGAGAGATCTACACAACCAGTATTACCTTGGACAGAGAGGTAAATTAATATTTCATGTCATTCATCTTTTCTGCTCTCCTCTCTTTCCAGTTTATTCTCTCTCTAATTTTCTGACTGTTTTGTGTCACTCACTCATAGGATAACTCAGAATCATCCTCCTCTAAGGATGTGCTGTCTAGTACCACAGCCATCAGTCATACATGGCCATTGGCCACTCGAAATGGAACTAGTCCCAGTTGAGATGTTCTGTAAGTGGAAAATATACACCAGACTGGGAAGACATGATATGAAAAAAAAAAGAATGTTAAAATATCATCTTAATAATTTTTGGTTGATCACTTGTTGATAACATTTCAGATACCATGGGTTAAATGAAATATCTTTGTTTAAAATTAGTATTATGTAGTGTTTAAACAATCCCCTGTCATTGGTAAAGGAACAGAAAACCCCCCAAATGTTTTTATAAATGAAAAGGCAAACCAGTATACCTCTACTCTCCCAAAGCAAAAATAAAATTAGGATCAACTATTTCCTTTTACTTTTTTTTTTTAATGATTTATTTATCTGGACCATGTGGTTGTGGGATCTTATTTCCCTAACCAAGGATTGAACCCAGGCCACAGCAGTGAAGTGCCAAGTCCTAATCACTGGACCACCAAGGAATTTCCTCTTTATTTTTTTAATGTGACTCCTGGAAATTTTTAAATTACATAAGCATTGGCCTAGGGCCTCTCCAGTCAGGATCTGTTTGCTAGAGAGTTCTAAAGCAATGTTCCTTACTTTGTGGTTCTGTAATGACACTTCAGGAATCTTTCCTACTGCTAATACATTTTCAGAGGGAGGAAAAGAGATTGAAATAGAAGTCCTGTTTAGAGTAATAGAAGTATTTGTAAAGAAAAGAGTTATTGTGAATCCCAAATTGGAGGAAAATTTGAGTTGTTTCCTAAAGGATATTTTCTCAAACATTTCATTTTTTTATTTCTAAGTCAAAGGGAACATTTTAGTTGAAAAGGGAAGACAAGTTTTCATAAATGCTACACGCATAAAGATGTTAACAGCATGCCTGGTGAAATGATGATCCTTAGGAGCGCTGTATTGTCATCAAATATAAATCATCATCAGACACAGTCAGTGTATTTTGTAATCCTTAAAAAAATGATTTAACTCTGGCCAGAGAAGAAGAGGATGCTGGTCAACATTCCTGTGATATCTTTGTAAAGGATAGTGAAAGTGTTAGTCGCTCAGTTGTATCTGACTCTTTACAACCCCATGGACTGTAGCCAGCCAGACTTCTCTGTCCGTGTGATTCTCCAGACAAGAGTACTGAAGTGAGTTGCTATTCCCTTCTCCAGGGGATATTCCTGACCCAGGGATTGAACCTGGGTCTCCTGCATTGCAGGCACATTCTTTACCATCTGAACCACCAGGAAAGCCCTAAAGGATATTATTACTCCTAGAATTCTACTCTACCTTTTCACATAAAATGAGAATGGAAAAGTACTATTTTGAAGTAGTAGTGCGATTCTGTATCTGAAACATTTAGCAAAAAAAAATACTGGCTGTCACTTGCTGGGCAAGCCATGTGCCCAGTGCTATTCCAAGCCTTTTATGTGGATTAACTCAGTTAATGAACCTGTAAACCCTGTGAAGCAGATCCAGTTATTATCCTCATTTTATATAGAAGAAAACCAAGGGTCAAAGGGATAATGTGTGGCCAACATAACTAGCATGTCAGAATTGGAACTCAGGCAGCTGGTCCCAGAGTCTCTGCCATCCTGCCTTTCGCTGAGCAGGTTTGCTCTGCACAGGGTCCCGGGCGTGGGCACTCGCTGCCTCGCTCCGTCTTAAACTTCAGCCACATTGATGGAGCCGTCAGAAGGGACCATGTGGAAGAGACGGGTCCCCTTTGGAGTAACATCTGAGACGTTGTTCTCTAGGACATGTTCTCCAGGAATCTTCTCTCCCGAGGATAAAAAGTGCACCAAGTTTTGCCTTTACTGACCCAGTGTTTTTGGGAGGTTAAGTCTTCACGGCTTAACTTTTAACCTAAAATGAAGCGTGGGCTTGAAAAAACAAATTCCTAGAGTCTCATCACTTCCAGTGTAATGCTGACTACCTTTTGAAAGCACTTTTGTGCTCAGACTATTTAAAGGAGAGATTCATCTCCTGATAAATATCACCAATGATGTAATTAAGAATTTGATGTCAACAACTGCTCTGGGCTTTTCTGCCCTTAAAAAAAAAGCTCTAAAAAAAATAAATAAATAAATAAAAAATTTTAAAAAAGCTCTGATGGCAAACAAACAACGTCTTTACAGAATTAACAGCAGGTCATGAAACTTTTTAAAATATTTATTTATATTTGGCTGCTTTGGGTCTCTGTTGCTGTACTGGCTTTTCTTTAGTTGTGGTGCGCAGACTGCTCGTTGCTGTGGCTTCTCTTGTTTAGCAAAGACTGTAGGGCCCTCGGGCTTCTGTAGTTGCAGCTCCTGGGGTCTAGACTACAGACTCAGTAGTTGTGGTGTACAGGCTTACTTGCTCCGAGGTCTGTGGGATCATCCCAGATCAGGGATCGAACCTGTGTGTCCTGCATTGGCAGGCAGATTCTTCACCACTGAGCCACCAGGGAAGCCCCCATGAAACTTACTTATGAATAAAATGTACTGTGGTTCATTCCCCTGATGATAAAGTGAGAGACAGATTTCGGAGCAATTCATTTTCACCCCAGCCGGATCTTTTTCATTGCCCTGCAGGAATACAGCAGCTACACTTTGACAGTAGAAGCAAGAGATGGCAATGGACAAATAACAGATAAACCAGTAAAACAAGCTCAAGTTCAGATTCGTATTTTGGACGTCAATGACAATATACCTGTAGTCGACAGTAACATGGTAACTACTATTTTTATAACATTTGTGCCTACTTACATGTCAGTCATAACTAAAAGTATATCACTTACGTTTGTGTTCCATCAGATTAAAAACCTCCTGTTTGTGTTTTGCAGTACGAAGGATCAATTGAAGAAAACCAAGCCAACGTAGAGGTTTTACGCATAAAAGTGTCCGATGCAGATGAAGTAGGCTCCGATAATTGGTTAGCAAATTTTACTTTTGCATCAGGAAACGAAGGGGGTTATTTCCGCATAGAAACTGATACTCAAACTAATGAAGGAATCGTGACCCTGATTAAGGTAAGGACGTAGTGTTCAAACCTGAAATGAGAGAAGTTGGTCCAGAGGAGGATACTGATGTATTTTGAGCTCCAAATATTTATCAGTACTGGTGCCACAGTGTTAGAGATAGGCGCCATCCGTATTTGCCCAAGTTCTGTGGTTGTAAGTGGTCATACTCTTTGTATTTCTAATGTCAGTGGTGTGAGGGTCACATTTTGAAACACAGTCAGTGGTGTGAGGGTCACATTTTGAAACACAGTGTATAATTCTGCTTAATTGAATCAATGAAAATTAAATAGTGTTATAAGTATATGGGTCTTAAACATTTAAAACCCTGACTCCTACAGAATTTTTTAAACAAAGTTAGAGGATGAATTTTTTTTTTTTTAACAAAATTAAAAAGGAAGAATACCACTATATGTTAAATGGTTCATGATAGAATGTCAAATTTTAAAATAAAAGGCAAAGCTAAAGCTTTCAAAACATTTCATTAAGTCACAGACAAAAATTGATTCCAGAAGCATCCACATTTTTACAAAACTTTTTATATGGTAAAGTAAGTAAACCCTAATAGAGGTATAATGATAATATAATGTATAACAGAATAGAGGAAAGTTAACTTGAAGTTTCATTGTAATAATTATGGATACCATTTATCAATAGACTACTGTATGTACACAGACCTCTCTTTGTAAAGCAGAGGAAAACAGAATAAGATTAGCTCATGTTTAAAGGGAAGACAAATTTTATGATTACTGAATAAATGGATAATGGCATTAGAGACAAAATCAATTTACCTGCTGTATAGAACTAAGCATCATTTTTTAGTCATAGATTATAGATGCAGCCATCCTCAGTGCTTGAGATTAAAAGCCAGTACTGCACGGAAGGAGAAGCAGTCACATAGTGATGAACATAGTGATGAATAATAAAAACACCCTCAGTGCACCACGCCAGCACAAAAAGGGACAGAGTTACTGTAAATTTAGTAGTAAAATGACAGCACCAGGTTAAGAAAATTATGAATTTACTTTCTCAATTATATAAAGAATCGCTTCCAAAGTATAAGGGCAACCGTCAGATTCCATTCACAGGAAGTTAGAGAAGATATACAAATAGCAAGTGTGCACATAAAGGATAGCCGGCATCATTAGACATTAGGGAAGGTGCAGATTAAGTCTATGTGGGCTATCACTGCACACCTGGCTAGAAAGAAGCTGCAATCAAACAAGACTGACACCACCAAATATCAGCAAGCATATAGAGAAACCAGAACTCCTGTACATTGCCAGTGGAAGCATTAAATGGTAGAGCCAGTTTGGCAGTTTTGTAAAAAAGTTAAATAGAGTACTAATCCAGTGACCCAACAATTTAGTCCTAGGTGTTCACCCAAGAAAAATAAAAACATATATAGTATCTAAAAAAAAAAACTTGCATGTAGATGTTCAGAGCAATGTTAATTGCAAATAGTCCAAATGCCTAATAACAGAATAGCTAAGTAAATTAAGTGTATCTAAATAGTAGAACACTATAGAAATGTTTTTAAAAAGAAAATGGACAAATTGGAAAATATATAGAGAGGGTGATAAACTGATCAAATCAAATGTAATACCACAATTCGCAAAGAATAGAGTATTTGGAAGAGGGTTAATCTTTTATGGCATTAATAGCAAACCAGTTATTAATAGACATCATGGTATAAAGAAGGGGGTTAGATTCTCTGTTTAAACAAATTTGAAAACCCCTTCCCGGGTTAATATAGTCAAATAATTTTTTTCTCCAGGAGGTCTCCTTTTATTTTTTTTTATACTAATATAAACAAACATAAATAGAAAATATGCAGAGAAATGGGGTACTTAAATAGTTTCAAAGTACCACCACACAAAATACACGTGAATTACAAAGGCCAAAAAAAAACTTTACAGTGGGGAAGCCTCAGATCAAATGATCAAAATGAACATCATTAATAAAGAGACATATTAATATTATATGCTACCTAATAAGATGCAGTGAGGTCTCAGCTTTATGATATGCTATGGGACAGAGCTGGCAGTCTGCTGCTACTTATGTAGCCCTTTTTGCCAGAACAAACCCATGGAACACTTTTTAAGGAATATTAACCTATATTGAATGTCCCATAACTTTTTTTTAATTAAGCAAAGAATCACTTCAGATTGCTAAAAATAAAAATATATATATTTGAAGTGATTTTGATCTTAAATAAAATAAAATTGGGGATGCTTCATAAACATCCTTAGGCTTCCCAGGTGGCGCTAGTGATAAAGAATCCTCCTGCAAATGCAGGAGATGCAAGACTCATGGGTTCGATTCCTGGTTCAGGACTATCCCTTGGAGAAGGAAATGGCAACCTGCTGCAGTATTCTTGCCTGGGAAATCCCATGGACAGAGGAGACTAGTGGGCTGCAGTCCATGGGGCTGCAGATTTTTAATGACATGGTATCAATATAAGAGTGCCCTATATACAAGCCTTCAAGTAGTGAACTTTTCAAAAATGAGAACGTATGTTTGCGTGTCCAATCACATTAAACTATGAGTGAAACTGCAGCTCGCCCTCCATCTCCTATCGCTGACAGTCCTTCAGCTCTACCACCGCCCTCCTCCTCTCCCTCCTCCACTCCATAACTCTTCTTGCCTGTTCACTGGATGCCAGCCCCTGGATGCCATCTGTTGTATGGTACTACTGAACTTCTCAGGGTACTGTACTGTAAGATTAAAAGTGTTCTCTTTATTTTTTGTGTTTGTTTTTTATGTATTATTTGATTGACAGTATTATAAGCCTATTACAGTACAGTACTGTATAGCCAAATGTGTTAGTTGGATACCTAGGCTAACTTTGTTGGACTTAATGAACAAAGTTGGACTACGAACATGCTCTCAGAATGGAATTGATATATTGGGGATTTACTGTACTCAGTATTGCTGTATTTTTCATGTTTTAAATGATTATATAATATCTGACACCGAAACCACACACGTGTGTTCTGTTGTTTTCCCTTTTAAAAGAATTCCCTCTGATTTTGCCTTTCTAGGAAGTAGACTATGAAACAATGAAGAATCTTGACTTGAGCGTTATTGTCACTAACAGAGCAGCTTTTCACAAATCAATTAAGGATAAATACAAGCCGACATCCATTCCCATCAAAGTCAAAGTGAAAAATGTGAAAGAAGGCGTTTATTTTAAAAGCAGCACAATCCAATTTCACACTAGCGAGAGCATGGAGAAATCAAGCCAGGGCCAAATACTGGGAAAATTTCAAGCTTTTGATGAAGACACTGGAAAAGTGGCCAATGTAAAGTAAGAGATGGTTGTGAATATTATTTCCTCATTCTAAGTTACTTTGAATGCCTCTTTTCAAAAATCATAATGGAATTTGGACACTTCAGTCCTTTGAACCCTGCTTGGGGAGCCTACAGACCCCAAAAGGCCTGTAAATGAAATTCCTGGAGTTGTGTTGTCACTGAGAGGCAAGGCATTTCCCCAGGAACCCCTTCCCTCCATGACCCAAGTATGAGGCAAAGGCTGGCTGGGTTCAGAAAAATGATGCAGGGGAGGAGAGGAGACGCAGATACAGAGAAGGGACTTGTGGACACAGTGGGGGAGGGAAAGAGAAGAATGGAGAAGGTGGCATCAATGTACATAGACCATCCGGGTGTAAGATGGATAGCTGGTGAGAAGATGCATGTAGCACAGGGAGCCTAGTTTGCTGCTCCGTGATGACCTGGAGAGATGGGATTGGGGGAGGGGAGGGAGACTAGGGAGGGAGGGAATGTATGTATAATTATGGCTGATTTGCATTGTTGTATGACAGAAACCAATGCAACGTTACAAAATTTTTTTTTAATTTTTTACTTAAAAAAAAAGTTCTGGGTTGAGAAGGCTAAATAGCAACAAAGAGAAAGTTCAGAAAGAAACTTTAAAATCTGTCTTTAGAGGTAAGAAAGTAGCAAGTAAAATTTACTGCAAGTTCACTTTACATACTTTTGATTAAGAGGGGAAAAAAGCTGCATAATGCATTAAAATTTTAATAATGGGAAAACCAGTTTTAATTGATCATCAGCCTTGAAAATTGATCTTCATTCAAACTAGGCTCTTTGGTCCAGGGATTGATGAAACTTGTAATGTTTGTCTTGATCCTGGTGACCTTTATTCAAAACGTATTTATGAGGAACCTACTAGATGCCTGAAAAGAAATGATACAAACGAACTTCCTCACAAAACAGAAAGAGACTCACAGACTTTGAGAACCAACTTATGGTTGCCGAGGTGAAGAATGGTGGGGACAGGATAGAGTTTGGGTTCAACATGTACACACTGCTAAATTTCAAATGGATAACCAACAAGGACCTACGCACAGGGAATTCTGTTCAATGTTATAGAGCAGCCTGGATGGGAGGGGAGTTTGGGGGAGAATGGATACATATCCATGTAAGGCTGAATCCCTTTGCTGTCCACCTGAAACTATGGCAACATTGTTAATGGGCTGTGAAAGTGAAGTTGCTCAGTCATTTTCCGACTCTTTGCGAGCCCATGGACTGTAGCCTACCAGGCTCCTCTGTCCATGGAATTTTCCAGGCAAGAGTACTGGAGTGGCTTGCCATTTCCTTCTCTAGGGGATCTTCCCGATCCAAGGATTGTACCAGGGTCTTCGGCATCGCAGATGCTTTACCATCTGAGCCACCAGGGAAGCCCAAAAAATTTAAATTAAAAATTTTTAAAGAACCCATCATATGCCAACCCTCTATTAGACCCATTCTGTAGCAGCACCTTAGGTTTTCATGGTCCATTCACATCTGCAAAGTGAGTTTACATCTTTTGAGTTTACATCTTAGCTCTCTACAGGGCTGTAATTTATGAAGCTCTGCTTACCTGTAGTTATTTGGTTGAAGTTGAGCTTCCCTGGTAGCTCAGCTGGTAAAGAATCTGCCTGCAATGAAGGAGACCCTGGTTCAATTCCTGGGTTGGGGAGATTCCCTGGAGAAGGGATAGGCTACCCACTCCGGTATTCTTGAGCTTCCCTGGTGGCACAAGACAGTAAAGAAGCCGCCTGCAATGCGGGAGACCTGGGTTTGGTCCCTGGGTTGGGAAGATCGCTTGGAGGAGGGCATGGCAACCCACTCCAATATTCTTGCCTGGAGAATCCCCATGACAGAGGAGCCTGGTGGGCTGCAGTCCACGGGGTCACAGAGAGTCGGAACTGAGCGCCTAAGCACAGCACAGTCCAAGAATCCTCACCTGCCACCCAAGATGACCGTCAGGGGGCGCTGCAAGCGTCATGCTTGGCGTCCTTGAAGGTCTTGCAGTGGCCGACCAGGGGCAGCCGTGTGCTTCAGCACGTGCTCCTGATGTCTGCGGCCTCCGTGGAATCCTGGATGTCCATCATGTGGCTCCTGTTTTCCTACTGTCAGTACCAGAGTTGTTCGGTTGCTTCACTCTGCTTGGGCCTTTGTCCCTGGGTGCCAGCACTTCGTGAAACACTGCCAGCCATAGCAAGAATGGGGATATGGAGGAACCTTTTCAGCAGCCTCTTTCGTTTTGGAAAATCTCATAGAATTCATCAACCAATAGTAGCAAATGACCTTTTTCTAAAATAATATTAACAAACAGTTTGCATTGTGTTTTCTGCAATGTCTTGGTGATCCTTTTTTGTGCAGCTTACCTTCAGGCACCAGTCCAGCTTCTTTTGAGTTTTGTAGCCTAATTTTTATTTCTGTGTCTCTAAACCTGAGGATGCGCATTCCTTATGACTTCTCAGGCTGTCCACTGAGAGGCTTAAATGTTCTGATTAATTACTCTTCAGTAATACTGTGGCTGTCTACTGGAACTTCTGTTTCCATCTACCTGTTTAATTTTGTTTGTTGTTTTCAGTAAGAGTTATGACCGTATCAAAAGATGATGTGTGCTACCTTGAAAAATAATGAAACATGTTTCTTGTCAAAAGTACCTTATTCTTTTGCATACAACTTTAGAATGAGAGTGATCTTAAAGATTAACTCAAACCTTATCTGTAAAGATCATTATTTACAGATAAGGAATGAGAGGCACAGCTAAGTGAAATAATTTTCCAGTATTCACCTAATTGAAATGTCGATGAGAACAGTAGAAGAAACACTCTCAACTTTGTCATGATTTACTTTGATTATCCATGTGCATCAGTTGTTACGGATATTTGACATGACATGTGAGCCACCATCCTGTCTTGAATGGTGTATAATTTTAACAATAGAAAACAGAAAATTCCTTAAATGAGATCACACAAAGCTTTCCATTGTGAAATGTGATTCTTATCACTGTAACTCTGTCTTGGTTATAAGTATAATGTGGGAAAACATTGAGCGAAGTTCAAGCTTTAAAATTCCAGCCATGAAATTCAAAAATATTTGTGAATATCCAAAAGTATCATCATTTACTGGTAAAATTATTAAAAGGCAGGAAAATTTAGTTCAAGTGTATAATTGGAATTTTTTAATAGCAACTATAAATAAATATTGCTACATGTTAGCCACTCATTTTTGTATGCCTAAACTGCCACTTAATACAAAATAATAATCTAATTGCTTGAACCAAATACTCATATGTTTATTTAGTTTATGTTTGTATTTGGATGTGTTTTAAACTTGATGGGATTAAATTGACATACTTTTGTGAAAATATACTATGAAAGTTCTACTTGCCTTCCTGAAGCTGTCTTTCCACTCTATAATTTTCCTTTGCTTTGAGAGAAGAAAACCAGAAATCATCTTATCAGCTTTGTTTTCACTTTTAGCTATTTCTAACAAAAAGGAGACTGTTGCTCCTAACAACTAAAAATATCCTGCAAATTTATTTATTTTTTAGTTGAAGGATAATTGCTTTACAGAATTTTGTTGTTTTTTGTCAGACATCAACATGAATCAGCCATAGGTGTACATATGTCCAGCAAATTTAAAGCACTTCCATTTAAGGCATTGATTTTTTTTTCAAACTGTTATTTAAAAAAAAAAAACTTATTTTTAAATATTGATAATATGCCAAGAAACAATAGGATGTAAGGTGGCTTTTTTCCACGAGTTCTTGTTGGATGACTTAAGTTATCCTCAAAAGGTTAACTCCAAATTTAAGGGAAACTAGATTGAAAGCTGTAAGACAGGCTAAGAGCAACTCATAACCTTCCCAGGTGAGTAAGAAATAAGGAGGATTCCAAAGTAGGTGTGAGAAAGTGATAAACAGAGGGGCTTTTAGGATAGTCTCAAGAAATTTAAAAACATTCCAAACATGCCTGTAATAAGAACATACATAATAAAGCAGAAATTAAGCTTAAAAAAGTTGTAGATATTAGTTATAAACAGTCTCAGTTTATCCAGAGTTCAGAATTAATTTTCTCTTTTCTAACAGATATGCCAAATTTGATGATATAGACAATTGGATCTCTGTGAATTCTGCCACCTCTGAAATTAAACTTGTGAAGATTCCTGATTATGAATCCAGATATGTCCAAAATGGTACATACACTGCAAAGATTTTGGCTATAACAGAAGGTAAGTTATTAAAGAAACATCTCTTCTTGGTTATATGTATTTAGATTTTATTTTCCAACCATGGAGACCTTTGTTTTGGCTTTATAGAAAGGTCAAATGGGTAAACCCTCACATTTCTACATATTTAGTGGATTAAAAGACATTACTTGATCTGAATACGAAAACAAATCTAAGATAAGAAGTGTCCTAATTGGATACTATTTCTCCTTATGAAATTGACTAGAGAATTCAAACTATGTCCATTTTGAGCAGTATGACCAGAATGGTTTTTTTTTTTTTTCCTATCTTTAAGAATATCCTAGGAAAACCATCACTGGCACTGTTGTTGTCAATGTTGAAGACATCAATGACAATTGTCCCACGCTGGTCGAACCTGTGCAGACCGTCTGTGACAACGTGCCGTTTGTGAACGTGACCGCTCAGGACCTGGACGGACCTCAAAACAGCTGGCCTTTCAGTTTCTCTGTCATTGATAAACCAGCCGGAATGGCAGAAAGATGGAAAATAGTACGCCGAGAAGGTAAGCAAAAATCTCTAGACTATATATTTAAATGTTTAACAAGATAGAAATCTATTTGCAAAGCAAATAGTGCTCGCTTCAGCAGCACATATACTAAAATATTTGCAAAGCATATAAAATGTTCATAATACAGTTATTTGCTTTGCATAAATTGTATTTCCAATACAGTCGAGTTTATAAAATGAAGTTCTGAACCTCAGGCATAGTGTGTTTGATCTGCCTAATGATAAATAATCTACCTGGAGGGAAAGAAGAAAAATAGATGTCTAATACCTCTCTTTTTTTTTTTTTAATTTTTATTTATTTATTTGGTTGCATCAGATCTTAGTTGCAGCATGCAGGATCTTCCTTGTGGTATATCGACTCTCTAGTTATGGTGCCAGGCTCAGCAGTAGTTGTCAAGGCTTCCCAGGTGGCGCTAGTGGTAAAGAACCCGCCTGCCAATGCAGGAGACATAAGAGACATAGGTTTGATCCATGGGTTTGGAAGATCCCCTGGAGGAGGGCATGGCAACCCACTCCAGTATTCTTGCCTGGAGAATCTCATGGACAGAGGAGCCTGGTGGGCTACAGTCCATGGGGTCGCAAAGAGTTAGACTCGACTGAAGCGACATCAGGTGCACGCACACACGCACGCGGTGGTTGTAGTGGGCTGGATCCTAGTTCCCAGACCAGGAATCAAACCCACATCCCCTGCAGTGTATTGTGGATTCTTAACCACTGGACTACTAGGGAAGTCCCCTCTAATATTTTAAAAGTAGCTGGGTATTCCCCAAATCACTCTTGAAGTAGTTGTCTCATAAGCTTGAGGAGTACTTTGCCTTTCTAAGCACAGTAATCCTAGTAGGTGCCTTCTAGAAATCTTGAGGTACGTTAATGATGATTCCATTAAAAATAACACTTATGGAGCAATACCATGTGCCAGACACTCTGCTAACCCTTCTTATGCTTTATCACATTTACTCCTTACCCCATACCATCATTCCCTGATCACAGCTGAGAGAGCTTTGACTTAACTAGAGTTAGGTAGCTTGTCTGAAGTCACAAAGCTGGTGAGTGACGGACATAACATGAAAAGGAAGCTGTCTGTCCTCCTTCCCCCATGCCAGAAGGACGTGAGCATATATCCAAACCTTGGGACATACTCCCTTATTGACATGTTCTTTTGGATTTCAAATGCTGAAAAATGATCTCCAAAAGACTCTCGTTTTAAAGAGTTGGTATTCATTTCAGAAGAGTTTTAAATATAATACCCCAATTTTTCTTAACTTACAAGTTCACTGGTTTTTTTAGGCTTAGCAAATTTACACTTGCAGTAATTTTAAGAGGCTTCGAACTGTGTTTGGTCCAATTTACAAAGTAAACACCTTCAACGTTTTTATACATTTAGTATATTTGGCTTCCTTTTTTTGTATTCCAATGATCTGAATTAAATAAAACTTTCTTATGATTCTTGATACTTTAAAATTCCAATAAATTTAACTTCTATCACACCTGAAATCCTCCTTTGTGGTCCACTACAACAAACCAGTGATATTTCAACCTAAAACTATAAATCTAAATGAATAACATAATTACACATTTTAAATTGGACTTACAAAGCTATCATGTCAGTAGAGCTAATTTTCCTTTAAATATTGTAAGTGTAGAAATACAATAACATATGCAAGTAATTTCTTTACAAAAATACTAAAACTTGTCTTTAGTTTCCTTAAATATTCCTATACTTAGTTCTGAATCTTCTTAAGGTTTATGATTCACTTACAAAAGATAGTTACATTGTTGTTGTCTCCCCAGTAAGGGAAGACAGTCACAATCCTGATTAATTGAGGTTACTTAAGATCAAGTTTTCAGCTATCATGAGCCTTGGGATGTAGACATCCAGATGATTCTTCTTAATGGTAATTAAGTCACAGATCCCAGGACTCAAGATACGTTGGTCCCCTGGTTCGCATTATCTCCTTCTGTACTCATGGAAGTCTGATATTCCCACCTAGGTTGACTGCTTGATTGCAGTTTGCTTTTCTTTGACTAAGATATGTAAATGTGTTTTGCATTGAATCTGCTGGGATTCCAAGATGTATTTATTTTATCTAATGAACATGATGTTTTGAGATGCCAGGCACTAGTCTAAGCACTTTAACTAATATTATCAATGCTAGAAGTTTGGCATTACTGTCATCAACATCTTACAGATGAGTAAACAAATGTGCGGGAAGTTTTACTAACGTCAAAGTCACAGCTAGTTAAGAGCTGATGGAATAATAGGATTTGAACCCACGCAGTCTGGCTGTGGAGTCTCTACTCTCCACTTTTATGTTCTATTGCCTCTCCAAATACACAGTGAATTTTCTATCTAAAGATAAAAACATTTGAATTTGAGCTCTTGAATTTTTTCCTAGCCTGAGGAATGTAAAGCTCTTTAGGATACACATAGGTGTTAGAGTGTTATACCAGAAAGTCACTGAGATTATACTTTATTTATCTCGGCAATTGGGAGAGACATGATGCTGTATTCCAGGCTTTTTGCCTTTTTTCTCCTTGGTTATATAATGAGTGAGTGAGCAAGTATTAGTCGCCTGGTCGTGTCCAACTTTGCGACCCCATGGACTGTATCCTGCTAGTCTCCTCTGTCCGTGGAATTCTCCAGGCAAGAATACTGGCGTAGGTAGCCATTCCCTTCTCCAGGGAATCTTCTCAACCCAGGGGTTGAACCCAGGTCTCCTGCATTGCAGGCGGATTCTTTACCATCTGAGCCACCAGGGAAGCCCTATATAATGAGATGTGTGACCACCTGTCATGATAATAGATGTTGTTGTTGTTTTTGTTGTTGTTGTTCAGTCATGCAGTCATGTCCCACCCTCTGCGACCCCATGGACCATAGCACACCAGGCTTCCTTGCCTTTCACTGTCACTCAGGATTTGCTCAAACTCATTCCATTGAGTCGATGATGCCATCCAACCATTGCATCCTCTGTCACTCCCTTCTCCTCCTCTCCTCAATCTTTCTCAGCATCAAGGTCTTTTCCAATGAGTTGGCTTTTCTCATCAGGTGGCCAAAGTATTGGAGCTACAGCATCCGTCCTTCCAATGAATATTCAGGGTTCATTTCCTTTAGGATTGACTGGTAACTATTTTATTTACTTGAGAAGTTTTTTAAGTACAGACAGCTACAAAGGGCTTCCCTGGTGACTCAGACGGTAAAGCCTCTGTTTACAATGCAGGAGACCCAGGTTCAATCCCTGGGTTGGGAAGATCCCCTGGAGAAGGAAATGGCAACCCACTCCAGTATTCATGCCTGGAAAATCCCATGGACCGAGGAGCCTGGTGGGCTACAGTCCACGGGGTTACAAAGAGTCAGACACAACTGAGTGACTTCACTAATAAGGCAGACACCTTTGTACTTCCCACTTAGAATTAAAAAATATTAACAATATGTCATATTTGCATCAGGCTTTTATTTTTTAATATTCGCTGATAAAGTGGACGACCCCTCTGTACCCTTCCTTCCACCTCTACCTTCCCTAACCCTCAGAGCCAATTGTGAATTTAGTTGTATTCTTCACCCATGTTTTCCTAGATTGCTTTTAACAAGCTCATATTCCTCAAATGAATGACTAGATACTTTCCACACTTCTACAGAACTTTGGGGATTATCTAATAAGGAAATTTCTAGCTATGGTTATCAAGATTCCGTAAAATTTGCACCTTAAGATGTAAAGAGACTATCTCTTACTTCCAAAAATAAATAAATTTGAAAAACGCCAAATACCTCATTTTTATTTTGGTATTTATCCATCTTTACATGTCTTGCAAGTAAACTTTTTAAATATTTGTTTATTGATTTGTCTTTGTCGGGTGTTAGTTGGGGCACACAGGATCTTCATTTTAGCACACAGACACTCTAGTTGTGGCCTGCGGGCTTCAGTAGTTGTGGTAAGTATAAGTGGGCTTGGTAGTTGGGGTGCATGGCCTTAGTTTCTCTGAGGTGTGTGGGATCTTAGTTCGCTAACCAGGAATCGCTATCCTGTGTTGCAGGGCATATTCTTAACTGCTGGACTGCCAGGGCAGTCCCCAAGTAAACTATATTTTAATGAGTTAAACATATATCAGGAAAAGGTTTAAGCTATTTTAATTGATCAGTCCTTTTACTCATGAAAACTGGTCATGATTTTTATTCATGTTGAAGGAAAAAATTTTAAATAATCAGTCACATTTTTAAAATATATGATTAAAGGTCATTTGCGCAACACTTTCTGTGTAATATTCTTGCCAAGAATGTATAACCTGAATCCAATCATGAGGAAACAGATTCAAACTGTGGAGCATCCTTTAAAATAAGTGGGCTTCAACAAGGTCAAGATTTTAAAGGGCCAAAAGGAAGGTGGTACTCTTGTAGATTATTAACAGAGACTAGGTGACAACTAATTGCAGGGCATAATCTTCAGTTGGATCTAGGATTACCAAAAAAAAAAAGCCATAGAGAATTATACAGGATGTTTTTATAACAGTTGAAAAGTTTGAATATGAGTTATATGTTAGATTATTTTTTCAATAATTAATTCTTAGAAGGGCTTAATATCCTTTGGTGTTAGAAGGTATATGCTGAAGAAGGTCATGAGATCTGCAACTTACCTTAAAATAGAGGGGTGGGATGAGGAGGGAGATGGGAAGGAGGTTCAAAAGGGAGGGGATATATATATATATATACCTATGGCTGATTCATGTTGAGGTTTGACAGAAAACAACAAAATTCTGTAGAGCAATTATCCTTCAGTTTAAAAAAAGAGTGTGCATGTAGAGAGATAGTATTGTTATAAAATGTAAACAATTCATGAAGAGTATATCAAAACTCATTGTATCAGTCATAGTCTTTCAAGTTTTCTGTAGATTTGAAATTTTTCAAAATTTCAAACATACCATGTTGGGAACAAAAAGGATGGAACTGGATGAAACAAGATTGGCCCATTGTTGAAAATTATTAAAGCTGGAGATGAGTACCATGAGGGTTAGTTATGTTCTTTCCTTGATCACCCTCTGTTTGAAATTTGCCTTAATAAAGTTCTTTTAAGAAATGGTAGAATAGGAACTTCCCTGCTGGTCCAGTAGCTAAGACTCTGAGCTCCTGATGCAGGGAGGCCGGGTTCGATCCCTGCTCAAGGGAACTAGACCCCACAGGTCACAACTAAGAGTTCACATGAAACGCTAAGATCCCAAATTCCACAGTGAAGTTCAGAGATCCTGAAACTAAGACCCAGTGCAGCCAAATAAATAAGTAGTTATTTTAAACAGGAAAAACTAAATTTTAAAAAAATGGTCATTCGATGGAAGTATCATTTAACTCACCACTTGTTTGTCACTGTATCCCAGTAATGGAAAGAGTTCCTAGCATCAGGTAGATCACGCATATTGGTTAACATTAGTCATAAAAGGAAGGTGTGTTCAGAAATGATGCTGTGATCTTCACCTGCATATTTGGACTAATCTCATCGAGCACACTGTGAATTCAACAGAGAAGTTATGGAATAATAAAACTAACCGGGGCTATATATGATTAGCAATTAAAGAATGTTTCTGTAGACTCAGATGCAGTGAACAGACTGATGGTTACCACTGGGGGAGGCAAGTGAGGAGGGACTAGACGGGGGTATAAGATTAAGAGGTACAGTCTACTATGTTAACATAAATAAGCTGTAAGGATATACTGTATGTCACAGGGGTTATAGCCAATATTTTACAATAACTGTAAATGGAGTATAACCTTTAAAAAGTGTGAATTGCAGTGTTGTATACCTGAAACTTATATAATACTGTAAATTAAATATACCTCAATAAATTGGAGGGAAAAAAAAAATGTTTCTGTAATTTAATCTTGCCCCTTTCTCAGTAACCATTCACTTTATTTTTTTGTCCCTTACAGACACCAATGTGCTACTGCAACAAACCAAAAGACAGCACGGGAGAAGTGAAATTCACTTCCGGATCACAGATAGTCAAGGCTTCAGCTGTCCTGAAGAGCAGATCCTTGCACTCACAGTTTGCAAGTGTGTGGAAGGCAGTGGCTGTGTAGAAACGTGGGCTGACTCCTACGTTGGCCTGGGACCTGCCGCAATTGCACTCATAATTCTTGCCCTTCTGCTCTTGCTACGTGAGTACTTGAAAAGCTGTACGTTCCCTTTTGGGGGCCTTCCCAGGTGGCTCAGTGGCCAAGAATCTGCCTGCCAAGCAGGAGAGTCAGGTTCGATTCCTGAGTCAGAAGGATCCCCTGGAGGAAGAAATGACAACACACTCCAGTATTCTTGCCTGGAAAATCCCATGGACAGAGGAGCCTGGTGGGCTACACAGTCCATGGGGCTGTGAAGAGCTGGACATCACTGAGTACTTCCTCTTTTAGTAATTTCTAGTGTCTTTTTAGGGTGTTTTTAGTATTTTGTTACTATAGTACTCATTGATTTCTTTAGTTTTTCTGTAATCACACTAGAATGCTATTGAGGGTGAGAAGGGAAGCAAGAATTGATCATTGATCAATTTACCAAAAGCTATCAGAGCTCTCTTCAGAATTTTGTTTTATAAAAATATAATTTCCGATTGCAGTAACCAAGATGATTAGACATACGTTTCAACCTTGTGGGTGTCCCCATTTTGTTAAGCTCTGTGAGGGAGGTGAGTTGTCTGTTCTTCCCCACACAGTGCCTTGTGTGTGGAAAACTCTCAGAAAAGACTTGTTGCGTGGTACAAGGTTATTTTACAAACCCATCTGATTCCCATCAGTTCTTGCTTTTTGCACCCTGGACTTGTCAGAGCTCCACCTCCCCACAGGCTCTGCTTGGCTTGCCCCTCCCCCTGCACCAACAGGAGCCGGACCCTCTGAGCACGTACATGTTTCCCAGCAGTGACAGCCGGCCGTCCCTTCCTGCCTGTCCTCCAGCGCCCTCCAGGGACTGGGTTTCCTCTCATGGGAGAACAGAAGACTGCAGCCTGAGGGCACATGGAGCCACTCCATCTACCCACTGCTCATGGGCAGACCCCCACCTCCAAGGCAGCCTCTGCTGTTTTTCTGCCAGAAGAGGGGTGCATCCAAGCCATTAGCATATGTGCAGTTGAATACACAGCACTCAACAGTTTGCAGTGCACTTCTATATCATCATCTCCATTTAATGGGTTAAGATACTGACCTGACGATAGTAACTTGTTTCACCTGGGATTCCTTGCACTACCGTTTCACCTCAGATTTCCCGGGTTTAGTGGGGGTGCTTAGTACATGGCAGACACTTGATAAACGTTTGCTGTCTTCTGTCTTTTTATTACACACAGTAACCATAGTCTGTGAAAGTATTAGTCACTCAGTCGTGTCTGACTCTTTGCAACCCCACGGACAGTGGCCCGTCAAGGTCCTCTGCCCATAGAATTCTCAGGCTTAAGTACTGGAATGGATAGCCATTCCCTTCTCCAGGGGATCTTCCCAACCCAGGAATCAAACTTGGGTCTCCTGTGTTGCAGGCAGATTCTTTACCTTTTGAGCCACCACGGAAGCACATGTTAAAAATTAAAGTGGTTTTTAAAAAATTAAGCTATTAAATTGATTTTGATGATTTGGATAGTGTCATATCCAGTCTTGATGTTCCACTGAGTGACCACAGGCAGTGACCACAGTCTTTGTGATGGACAGGAACTCTGAATCTGTAAGACTCCTTCATCCTGCCTTTCGGCTTTGGTATGACTCACCCAAAACAGACTTGTTGAGTTTGGATCAGGGGAAGAAAAGAAAAACAGAAAAGTAGGGCTATAAGTAAGTGAAGACCGAACTCTCGAAAGTGATATGCAAATTCCAAGACTATGCAAGATAAATTTGAAAATCTGTCGAGACTAACCTTCTCTGTACTGGATTTTGTTTCTGTTCAGTTATACCACTTCTACTGCTGGTGTGCCATTGTGGAAACGGCGCCAAAGGCTTTACCCCCATCCCGGGTACCATAGAGATGCTGCATCCGTGGAACAATGAGGGGGCGCCGCCTGAAGACAAGGTGAGATAATCCAGTGTCTTCTTTGCTGCTTTAAAGGAGTCTTAGGAAGTGTCTCTGACATCATAGGTCATGAGAGTAAACCGGTTCCTACAGATTTCATTCACGTGCCTTCGTTAAACACCGCCTACTTTGTATTTGTTGCCAGGGCCGAGTTGGGGTGGATTTGCTCTACTACGACAGGTCAGGTCCTGAGTCATAGAGAACGTAGACAGAGGGTCAGGTAGTGACACCGGGAACGTCAGACAAAGGCTAAATAGAACACGAGTGTGTAGGGTTTAGGTAGGAAGGTTTGTCCCAGTATTTACATGGGCAGTCTTTCACAACCAGGTGCTTCTCCATTTCCAGTCCACACGATACATAAGGTCTGCAGAGGTGCACCCACAGCCCCCGTGACATTTGTAAAATGTTGCAAAATCCCCTTCCCTGCCTACTTACTGGGCGTCCCAGGTGGCACTAGTGGTAAAGAACCCGCCTGCCCATGCAGGAGACATAAGAGACACAGGTTCGATCCTAGGGTGGGGAAGACCCCCTGGAGAAAGAAAAGGCAACCCACTCCAGTATTCTGGCCTGGAGAATTCCGTGGACAGAGGAGCCTGGCGGGCTACAGCCTCTGGGGTCACAAAAAGTGACTGAGCGACTAACACTCTCACCGGCTCACTTAGCTCAGACCGTCCACCAGGCGTACTGACCGTCCGCGGCTCGCGGTGTGTGCTCCCACAGGTGGTGCTGCCTCTTCTGGGGGCGGATCTCAGAGATGGTGCCGCGGTAGGCGCTGGGGCAGGCGGAGGTGTGACGGCCAAGGAAGCTCTCGTGAAAGGAGGCAGCTCCGCCTCCTTCACCAAAGGGCAGCAGGAGATGTCCGAGGCGGAAGGCCGCTGGGAAGAATACAGAAGCCTCGTCTCGGGCGGAGCCACCCAGGTTACGGGGACGACCGGGGCCGTGGTGACCTCGGACACGTTCAGGACCACGAGAGCCACGGGGGCGGCCAGAGAAGTGGCCGGAGCTCGAGCAGGCGCGGCGGCGGTGAACGAGGAGTTCCTGAGAAGTTACTTCACTGAGGTAAGCGTTGGTTCCTCTGTGGGGGGGACGTTGCATTTATATGTGAACGTGATGTTATTAGGGAAATCATTTTCTTGGATCTGAATGGGACCGTGTTACTTTGAAGAGGGTGCTTACAGGCAGTGAGGAAGGAGAGATGGGACCAAATTAGTTCAGTACGTGGTGGTGACAAGTGACCTCAGTCTTACTTCTCACCAGGGCGTATTTCTCACAGTCATGCTCTTGCCATTCAGCTCAGCTCTGCTCAGGTTGTGCCCAGGAAGCGCCCGTCCTTGGGGTGCAGAGACCAGATCAGTGAGAACCTGGTAATAGTACCCCTAAAGCCGCTGCCTTTCCCCACTCGCGTGTCATTGGCCAGAGCAGGTCACGTGGTCAGGCTGATGTGGGTGGGTCAGAAAATGCGGTCCTCTGCAGAGCAGGTAGGGTGGGAGGGGAGAGACGATGTGACCTAAAAAACACAATCTACTACGCCTGTTTAAGTGTTTTCTTTTGAAGGCAAGTGCTTGGTTCATCTTTGAGGCGGTTCACATAAAATTAGGAGGAAAGTTGCAGGAAAGATGATGCGTTGCAGGAAAGATGATGCAATGCAGTCAGGAAGTTGATTCCTGGAATTAGGAATTAGAAGCCTTTCTGTGGAACAAGATCATGCCTGAGCACGGGATGGGTAGAGTCAGATTGCTGGGGGCCCGATGGGCTTCCATAGAGGCCACTTTATTCCTGCTACCTCCTTTCTGCACGGCCACAAAGTACCTGAGTGCTTCCCTGCTTTCTGCTTTCACCCCAGCTGCCCATCCCCAAGGATCAGCTAGACCCCAGGGAGACGGTGGTCTGGTCAGTGTCGAGGAAAAGCGATTCTCATCCTTTTTCTGTCTCATGGCCAGGCTCCATTCTGCTACCCTGTTTGTTTTATCTCAGTATCTTTTTCCCACTCTGCTCTAATCCTTTGTGAGTCAGTCTAGATTATGTATGTGTGTGCAGCTTTTAATTGGGAAATAATTTCAAACTCATCTGGAAATTTGCAAGAATAATATAAAGTTTGAACTCCTATGTACACTTTCCTCGGGGCCTCCCAGGTGGTGCTAGTGGTAAAGAACCTGTCTGCCAATGCAAGAGACATAGAGATGCACGTATGATCCCTGGGTTGGGAAGATCCCCAGGAGGAGGGCATGGCAACCCACTCCAGTTTTCTTGCCTGGAGAATCCCATGGACAGAAGAGCCTGGTGGGCTGCAGTCTATGGGGTCGCAAACAAACAGACACAACTGAAGTGACTTAGCATGCACACACACACCCTTTATTCAGATTACCCAAATATTAACATTTTGCCACATTTGCTTTTGTTTGCTTTCTCTCTCACACACGCGCACACATCCTCTTACGTCACCATGGTATAGAGACTTAATAACACATTCCATGTCTCAGTTTAGTCAGTGATCCCAATAATGTCTTTTATAGCCATTGTTTTTCCCATCTCAGACCCACTCTAGGGTGCTGCTTTCCATTTACTTGTCATGACCCTTGTGTCTCCTCTTAATCTGAAACCGTTCCCTCTGCCCTTCTCATTTATTAATACTATTTTAAGAATACAGGCCAGTCGTGTGGTAGGATGTCCTTCAATTTGTGTTTCTCTGATGTTTCCTTATAATTAGAGGTTTCACATTTTGAGCAGGAATCAAGAGCATTGTCCTTAAACGAAGTGTGTCACTGGCTGTATGCCCGTTTCTCTTTCTGTTTCAGAAAGTGGCCTCTTACACCGAGGAAGATGACATCCACACAGCCAAAGATTGCCTTCTGGTTTATTCTCAGGAAGAAACAGAGTCTCTCCGGGGTTCCATTGGCTGCTGCAGTTTCATTGAAGGAGAGCTAGATGACCGTTTCTTAGATGACTTAGGATTGAAATTCAAGACCCTCGCTGAAGTCTGCTTGGGTCGAAAAATAGAGATGGATGCAGAAACTCAGCAGAGGGCAAAACCCACGAGAGAAGCAGATGAGAAGGTAGTTTCACGGTCCCTCTATGAGCAAACCAGGCTTAACTCCAAGAACGCTTATGCCTCAGGTGGCAGCTTTCAGGGTCCCAAGCCTTTGCATGAGGCAGACACAGAGAAGGTAACTCAGGAAATAGTCACTGAAAAGTCTGTTGTATCCGCTAGGCAGGCTCAAAAGGTCGCTGCACCACTTCCTGATACACTGGCTTCCGGCAGCATGATAGTGACCGAAACGTCCTATGCCACGGGCGCCACGGGACCCCCAAGCACAGTGGTCCTGGGCCCCCAACAGTCCCAGGGCCTGATCGTGACCGAGCGGGTCTACACCCCAGCGTCCACCCTAGGGAACCAGCAGTATGCTAGCAAGGGGCATGTGGTGGTCACTGAGAGGGTCATCCAACCCCACGGGGGCACGTCTGGCCCCCTGGAAGACACCCCACCTCTGCCCGAAGCTCACTATGTCATGGTGCAGGAAAGAGAGCGCTTCCTCACCCCCAGCTCCAGCCTGCAGCCCCCGCTGGCCGCGCCCAGTGTAGCCTCAGGTCAGAACGTGACAGTGACCGAAAGAGTGCTGACGCCAGCCTCCACGCTGCAATCTAGTTACCAGATCCCTGCCGAAACCTCGGTAATGGCCAAAAAGACTGTGGTTTCTGCAGCTGGAGTCCCGGGTCCCCTGCCAGACTCAGGCTTAGAGGAGTCTAGTCATTCTAATTACACGATAACCACATCTTCCACCAGGGTCTCCAAGCAGAGCACCATCCAGCAGTCCTTCTCCTAAGCAGCCATCAGCCACACCAGAGTTTAGCCAGCAGGGACTCATGTCATGTTCTCAGAGGACCTGGCTTTTCAAGAGCCTTGTAGGTGTAAGAGGCACATATCCCATGGGCCTCAAATTTTTCTCAGTCACTACTGTGCAAAGAGCTTCATGTCTCAGCTTCTAGGATTGCACTTCAGAGATACCCTGGGACTTCCTGAAGGGACAGAATGATGAAGCTGGTCTTAGGTGTCTTTGAGTGACTTATGGCCAAATAATACTCACAGGAAAAGTTAAGTAGGGAGTCAATCTGGCTTCTGATTTATCAGATTAGCAGTGTCTCTAGTGCATGAGCCTTCTGGTAGAGCCATCCATGAAACTGAATGGGTTCTTGGCCTCCCGTGTTAACATTTAACTTTGCTGTTCTGTGTTCCGTGCTTCTTGCACCTAGCAGATTACCAACAGCTTTTTTATCCAAAGATACTTGTACAGTCTGAATGACCTGTTTTGCTTGTTTGGATTCTTTAAAACTAGATGCCCTTCAATCCATGTAAGGTTAATTGAATTTTGGAACATGATATGGTAAAACATTATGTATTCTGTGCATGTAAGTGTGTGTGTGTGTGTGTTGTATGACCTTAAAAATAGCATCATTCCTTCCCTTTGTCTCTCAGTAATCATGAAAATATTAAATACTTCAAGTTCAGTAGAATAATCCAGGGCGAAATTCATAAATATAAAATCACTTTATTTTTATAGCAATAATAGAATATTAAAAAAACTCAGGATACATTATCTTCTAATTTAGTAAAACACAGTAAACCATATGCACTGTGCTAAGAGCCCTTTTCACTGCTGTATATCCTCAAGTGCCTACTGTGGGTGTCTCAATATGTGTACAATTAGGCAAATTTTAGAACCCACTCTCTTTTATCTATGATTGCAAAACAAATATTGGAAGACCTTATAATTGCTGTAATTTTGAGTTTGAAATTATGATTTATTCCATGTCTCAAAGTCATTGGCTAGTTGGCCATGGCTGACTACATGGACTATTGAATATTGTAGAGCTGACCTGAATTTCTACAGCATCTTGCCTTTCTTTCTGAAAAGTTATCTGGATGTTTTGGCCAAATAAATAGATTGTATTTTTATTCCTCCTTGAAGAAATGATCCATTTCAAGTTTCAAAGTGTAAGTGCCTATCAGTCATCAATTATATAAATATTCTCCACAACAAAATCATTTCCATAAGCTTTAAAGGCTGTAATTTTGTGAATTTTGAGTATATTTTACTAGGAAAATGAAATCTCAAAAAACTCATTTTGTAGCACATTTTTAAAAAAATATTGATGACCTGTGTTATGCAAAAGATTTATACTTTTCTACTTCCACTAATATGTACAAAGAAAAAGCAAATATCTTCAGACTCCTTAAACCTATGGCCAAAATGAAGGTCTCTCTCTGATACTCTAATTCTTGTACTCTCTACTTGTAACTGTTGCTTTTGTCTTTGCATTATAGACTTAGTAGTTATTGTTTGCCAAGTCTGCAACAAGACTGTCACTAGTGTGTGAACTTGTGAATGTGACCTGCATACTCCAAGCAAAACCTGGTCTTAAACTTCCTCTACATAAAGTCATCACATTCTGTAGATGATTTTCTTTGTTCCTGAAAGGGTGATAATTTGTATTAGTTTTTACATTTGTTCTACAGAAGAAACACTATATTTGTATGTATATCATCAAAATATTTAAATAAAAAGATGATCTTTGTGCAACTCTCTGCCTGTATCTTTTTATTGCCCCCATCATATTTTACAAGGAATACAGTCCGTCGTTAGGGAGGAGGCAGATGTTTGTGGACCTTGGTGCTTTAATTATTAACAGAACTGCTTACATCCTGCCCAGCCAGACTCCTTGGAAGAATATATTTCCCTTCCTAAGTAGGGTAGAACACAGAAGGCCCGTCTGAAACGAGTTTCAGATCAATAATGAATAGTATTTTTAGTGTAAATTATGTCCCATAGTAAAAGATTACATTTTATCTGAAATTCAAATTTAACAGGGAGCTCTGTATTTCTATTTGCCAAGTGTGGGAAGCTTGTTCTAAGGGGCCAAGGTTTGCTCTCTGCCCAGAAAGTAACAATGCAGGAACCAGTGGATTTGGCTGAAGAAGTCTTGCATATTTGACTCCAGGAGATGAAATCATTCAACCATTGTAGAGAGGCTGTTTTAATTGCTTTTGGTTACAAGAGAAAAGGTGAGATTCTGCCTATACTGAAGTGTCACATCAGTAAGCATTTCCTAACACAGGTGTGTCAACACACCCTGAAGTGTGAAGCCTGCGCTGGTGTAACCCCCAGACTCCTATTCCAAGTGATACATGAGAGCAATTCTTCATTGATTTCATGAAACACTACAGACATGCTAATCACCATGACATCAAAATTTATACAGTAAACATTGTTTATCAAGTGTCATCTAGAAATGAGGCGTTTTCACATAACAACTATCAGTTAAATATTCCTTAACACAAATTTCTCAGTTTCACTATATTGGTGTATCTAAAATCCTCAGTATGATTATTGATTTTTTTTTGGTCTACTTTTTCCATTAGTTGTTGAGAGAGGAAAGTTACAGTCACCAATTTATTGTGGTTTTCCCTGTTTCCTCTTTATTTCTTTCTATTTCATATAATACCTTGAAACTTGTTACACCTGTGTTATTAGATACAAATACATTTAGAATTATTGTCTTTCCAAAGAACTGACTCATAGAAAGTATTTTCTCTGGTTATATTTTTTTGTCTTGAATCTACTTTTCCTAATATTAACGTCACCACACCAGCTTTCTGATGCCTACTGTTAGCATGGTACATTTTTTTTTTATCCTTCTACTCTAACCCTGCCTATGCCTTTATATTTCTAATGTGTGATTCTTGTAAATATCATACAGGTAGATCTTGCTTTCTTAGGGGAAATTTTAATCTACTTAACAGCAGTTACTCACATGGATGACTTTAAACCTTCCATCGTGGTCTTTGCTTTCCCTTGGTCCCGTCTGTCCTTATATTTCTTTGCCTCTTTTCTGCCTTTTGTGTGCTGCGTATTCTAGAATTCCACTCATGGTTCTACTCACCTTTCAACTATACTTCTTTGTGTTTATTTAATAACCGGTTGCTCTTGTGGAAATCTTAATTAAAACCAAAATCTCCTGCCCACCTAGAAAAACTGTCACAAAAATAGAAAACAGTTTTATGATTGAATAAGTGCCAAGTCAGAATGTGATGAGCGTCACAGACAACCCATAAGGAAACTGCAAAGATGGAAAGAAATCACCAGGCAGACACAACTGATTACATACTTGTTCACAAAATAAACGATAGGTTGTCCTCAAGCAAGGCTTACCAGCACCGTTTTCATACACAGCTCATCTTACATTCAGCTGATAACTGAGGTGGCCATTGTGTTTGTTGATTACCTTTATCCAAAGAAATAAAACTTCTAATATCTATGGCAGGTAGTTACAATTTGGAGCCAGGCACCTGGTGGTGATAAAAAGTGATAAAAAGAACCCACCTGTGAGTATAGGTAGATGGAGACAAGGGTTTGATCCCTGGGTCGGGAAGATGCCCTAGAGGAGGGCATGGCAACCCAGTCCAGTATTATTGCCTGGAGAATCCCATGGACAGAGAAACCTGGTAGGCTATAGCCCATAGGGTCGCAAAGAGTCAAACAGGACTGAAGTGACAGCGCACACACCCATAGAGAGAGAAAAGGGTCCTTACTTCCTTGATGTTCAAAGAGACGGTTCCCGAGTCCTTGAGAAAGATATCCCTGCTTATAAAGCTGGCAAGAGGCTCATTTAGTTTTTAAAAGATCAATTTAACAATGACAAGTTTTCTAAAGAGGAGTCAGGGAGGGTACATTTCCTTTTCGCATCAGGAAAATTCCATTTTTTCATTTTTAAGATTTCTACTTGCCCTTAAATTCTAGGGCTGCACTGTAAGTGGCAAATGACTATCAACTGAACAACACACATATAGACCATTTTTATTTTTGTGGGAAGGTTTTTGGCACCATTTCTAGAATTACAGTGTGCATCTTTATTGTAGTCTGCCTTCAAATATTCTACTTCACGATGTACATAAGCTTTGAACTTTCACTTCGTGGATTTTGAAAGTCACTAGTATCTGACCTTCACACCAATACTGTCATTCAGAGACCCTCAAACGTGGTCTTCTGTCCCCCACCCCTTCCTTGATACACCTCAGTGACTGATGTGTTATTGGCGTGAAGATTCTGAAACTCCATCAAGTGCATTTATGAGTGGAAATGGACTCAAAAGTTCACAGATTACAGACGCTCCACACACCCAGGAATCAAGTGGAGAAAATGAGTTGAGGAATGTATACCTCCTATAAATCCACACATACCTGGAGTTGTCAATTCTTCAGCTGTCTCTTCATGTTGTTCTCCGCCCTTCCTCTCCTGTTTTAACAACAAATGCTTCACCGGGCATCCTTGCCCCCTGATTTGTAAATGAGTTTGGCCAGTGCGAGGCATTGGCTGGGATTGGAGAGGAAGAAAAATAAGATGCGGGCATTTCTTCTCCATCTCCTACTTCCTGCACCAGCCAGGCGTCTCTCTAGCACAGCAACTCCGTCTGACTTCCCTTCTGCATCTGGAGGCCTGCTGGTGTGATCGTCTCCTCCTCAAATGTCACCAGACTTGTTGAAGTACTTGACCATTCCATGAGGATTCCCCCACCTGCCCCACCTTTTGTATCTGATGCGTTAAACCCCCTCACGTCTGCCTGCCTCCACTCTCACTGACTCAGGCATTCAGCAGCGAAATGATGATTCATTTGTAAAGTCATAAGAGGGACTTCCCTGGTGGTCCAGTGGTTAAGAATCAGCCTTTGGATGCAGAGGGCTCGGGTTCGATCCCTGGGCAGAGAACTAAGATCCCACTTGCCGCAGAGCTACTGGGCCTGCGGCCAAAACTGGAGAGTCTGCACGTGCCAAAACGGGAAGATCCCCCACACAAAGACACAGAACAGCCAAACTAATTAACAAAAGACCATAAGAACCCCCGTTTCTAACACTGTTATATAAGTCATCTTGGACTGCCAATACCAGCACCTCAGACTGGGGGGCTTAAACCATAGACATTTATCTTCTCACACATCTAGAGACCAGAAGGCTAATGTCAAGGTGTCAGCAGGGTTGGTTTCCTCTGAGGCCTCTTTTCTTGGTTGTAAACAGCTGCCTTCCCCTGTATCATTACATGATCTTCCCTCTATACATGTCTATGTCCAAATTTTTCTTATAAGGACACAGGTTATACTGAATTAGGCCCATCTTGATGACCTCATTTTAACTACCCCATTTTAACTTAACTACCCCATTTTAACTTAGCTCCACATGTAGTCACATTCTGGGGTTCTAAGAACTAGGATTTCAACAGATGAACTTTGAGGGAACAGAACTCAGCTGGTAACACCCAGTAAACAAATAGCATGCATGCATGCTCAGTCGCTTTAGTCATGTCACCCCATGGACTGTAGCCCGCCAGACTGCCCCATCCATGGGATTTTCCAAGCAGGAATACTGAAGTGGGTTGCCATGTCCTCCTCCAAGGGATCTTACCGACCCAGGGATCAAGGCCATGTCTCCGGTGACTCCTGAGTTGGAGGCGGAATCTTTTCCTGCAGAGCAATCAGGGAAGCAGTAAACAAACAGACTTAGTTTGAAAAGCTGCACTGTTTTTTTTCCCATGTAATCCAGGAGTTTCTTCCTCCAACTATTTGGTTAATAATTAACACAGATTGCTTGAAACAGTAATAAAATTTAAAGCTGGCTTGAAAGTAGCCTGAATGAAGAGACTGCAGAGTATCTATTGAATCTTTAGAGAAAACTTCAAAGGCACTCAAAGCAAAAGTACACTTGTGATACGCACAGGTTCCAGAGTCCAAGACCCACGATTGTTGACACCCCAGTTCAGTGGCATCAGACACAGGCTTTATGTAGAAAAGTTCTGCTTCCTCAGAGGCTGTCGCAGCACCACAAGTGATTCTTCAGCTAATCGAGGGGAAGCACAATGATCCTCTCCCATGGAACTCATTCTAAGAATTAATTTTTTTTTTCACTTGCTTCTAGGGCTTCTATACATAGCCCATGGGGCCTTTTTATCTTGTAGTCTAAATTTAGGTCAGTACAAATTACTCTCCCTCTATCTTGCCTTCTAGTTTTACAAAATGATGTGTGCTCAGTCACTCAATCATCTCCAGTTCTTTGTGACCCCCTGGACTGTAGCCCAACAGTCTCCTCTGTCCCTGGGATTCTCCAGGCAAGAATACTGGAGTGGGTTGCCATTTCCTTCTCCAAAGGACCTTCCCAACCCAGGGATCAAACGCCAGGTCTCCTGCTTGGTATGTGGATTCTACACCACTGCGCTAACTGGGAATCCCACTATAGTCACTATGCTGTGATAAATAATAACGGAAAGGAATATCTAAAAAGAATGTGTGTATATATATGTGTGTGTGTGTGTGTGTATAACTAAATCAGTACAGCAGTAATCAACATATTGTAAACCAATTATACTTCAATTAAAAATATATTTTAAAAAATCCACATTGGAAGATTTGCTAATTAGTACAAGGGATAGAAGTTCGTTAATTGGTGAAATAAGTGGTAACTCAATCTTAAGAGAGATCAACCCTGAATATTCACTGGAAGGACTGATGCTGAAGCTGAAGCTCTAGTATTTTGGTTATCTGACTGTGAACAGATGATTCATTGGAAAAGTCCCTGATGCTGGGAAAGATTGAAAGCAGAAAGAGAAGAGGGTGTCAGAGGATGAGATGGCTAGATGGCATCACCGGGAGACGGTGAGTGACAGGGAGGCCTGGCGTGCTACAGTCCATGGGCTCACAAAGAGTCAGAAACGACTGAGCGACTGAACAATCTCAAGTGGTTTTGAGACTGGTGATTGTTGAGACATTGGGTACATCACCCCCCAACATGCAAGATCCATGAAGGAAGCATGAGAATATAGCAGCCCCAAGACTCTGATGGGTCCACTGAAGCACTGGAGTTTCACCACCCGTGTGTCCTTCTTCTGGGAGATTCCCGCCATCTAGCTAAATAATGCTGGCTCGTCCTGTCATCTGAACACAATTCCGTCCACCTCTCATCAACTGCTAGTCAGAAGGGTTAGGGCAGAGAGTAGAAATGCCCTGAGTTACAAAATCAGGTTGTTTGACTTTATTAGCTTGTCTGCTAATAAATATTTGTACATTTTGTCGACTTGGTTTAATATTTACTTGCTTTGTAATAAACCCTTGGTATGGTCCCCTAATTACCTCCAACTAGTAGAAATATCAATATTCAAAATCTTAAACAGTTGTCATTTGCTAAACAGAATATTCATTTAATCCAATTATTTTTCTTTGAAGATGTACTACTGCCTGGGTTCAACCTCTTTTCTCTGTCACTCCAATTTTCTCACTTTTAAAGTATCATTTTACCAAAATGTTTTATTGTATTATATAGACTTTGTTGGGGAATAAAAGGCAAAATACAGATTAAAGAAGCAAAAGACAAACTATTTTGTGTATACTATTCTTGTTTCTTATCTCTATCCACCCTAGGAATTGAGATCACTGAAGGCAGAAATGGGCCTTTTTGATGTGTCTTCTCGTGATGTACTCAAACAATTTTGAATTGTGAATTTTGAAAATCCAACAAAATTTTGAAAGTGGATTTCCTAAATCTGTTTGTTCCATGATCTCACTGTCTCATCTGTCGATGCTCCATTTAACTTGCAACCTCTAACTTGCTGCATCCAAAACTCAAGTTTGTTCTCACTGTAGAGTCTTATAAGTCAATTCTGAGAAGGGACCAAGGGGTTTTGATATAAAGAGAACTATGCGGACTTCCCTGGCAGTCCAGTAGTTAAGACTTCGCCTTCCAATGCAGGAGGTGCAGATCTAGGTTAGGGCAAAGAGTAGAAATGCTGGTGCTGGTTGGGGAGCTACGATCCCACTTGGGGCCAAAAAGCCAAAACATAAAATACAGCAATATTACAATGAATAAAGACTTTTAAAATGATTCATATAAAAAATCTTTTTTAAAAAAACTATAAAGGTTTCAGTGCACAGTGGGAACTATTTGCAATGACTCAAAAAGTCTGTTTATTTCAGAGTTTCTCTCTATAATCTGGTTGCTTAGATGGTCAAGACATTTTACTCACTGTATTAAAGACTCGTTTCATTGTTCTGTCCTCTTACCCACAGCTGACCTTGCGATGGAACCCAGATGTTCTGCTTCCCTTCGTCTACTGCATTCAGCTTCTTCTAGCAGGAAGTGGTTTCACAACCCTCTTTGAGCTGGACCCAGTCAGAGTATTCTCCAGCTTTGTTATTCCCAATCCCTCCAAGGACCACACCTACCATCGGCCCAGTTTTACAGGACTCTTTCTCAGAGGAAAACTACTGGGGTGAGAAGCGAAAAACATGCCTTGGAGCACTGCTATGAAATGGTGAGAAAACACACGAA